TTTTTTTTTTTTTTTTTTTTTTTTTTTTTGATCAGTACTTGTTGACAATTACTGCTGTGAGCCATTTGGATATGCCTCTACCAGCTTTGCACAATGAGATGGGGTAATTTTGTCCATTCTTCCTGCCAAAATTGCTCCAATTCTGACAAATTTGTTGAGGATCGTTGATGGACTGCAATCTTAAAGTCTTGCCATAAATTTTCCATTGGATTCAAGTCAGGACTTTGACCGGGTTACTCCAGGACATTCACTTTCTTCTTTTGAAACCACTACAGTGTGGCTTTGGCTTTGTGCCTTGGGTCACGGTCCTGCTGAAAAATAAATTTAACCCAGTTTTAGATTCTTTGCTGACTCAAGCAGGTTTTCCTCTAGGATTCATCTGTACTTTGCACCTTCCATCTTCTCTTCAATCCCGTCAAGCTTCCCAGACTTTGCTGATGAGAAGCATCCCCATAAAATGATGCTATCACAACCATGCTTGACAGTTGGGAGGGTGATGACTGGGTGATGTGCTGTGTTAGGCTTGAGCCAGACATAATGCTTTGAATTTAGAACAAAAAGTTCAATTTTTGTTTTGTCTGACCACAAAACCTTCTGCCACATCTCTGCAGTATCATTTACGTGCTTTGTTGCAAACTCCATATGAGATTTAAAATGATTTTTTTTTTTTTCAGTAATGGTTTCTTTCTTGCCACTCACTCATACAGGCCAACTTTGTGTAGGGACCAGGATATTGTCGATGTCTGAGCACTGACTACAATCTCAGACATGGAACTTTGCAAATCTTTTAAAGTCACTATTGGCTTCACAGTGGCATCCCTAATCAGTTTCCTGCTTGCCTGGCTACTTAGTTAGGATGGGCAGCCTGACCTGGGTGGTTTGAAGCACATTCCACTTCTTAATGATAGATTTTACTATAGTAAAAAGGGATAATCAGCAACTTGGAATTTTTTTGTAACCTTTTCCTGATCTGTTCTTCTCTACCAGTTTATCCCTGACTTGTTTGGAAAGCTCCTTGGTCTTCATGGTTGGTTTGTCGTATCACTATGCGAGTTGTGGATTAAATAGATACATTTACTTTGAATTCAAGTTAAACTACTTTGATTACACACAGACAGAGACCATTACACTAACTTTGTGACCTTTCAAACTAATCTTCTGCACCTGAACTAATTTAGAGTTGCCGTAGCAAAGGGGCTGAACACTTATGCAATTAAGAATATTCTAATTTTCTTTGAAAATCTTACTTACTTACATATTAGCAGTTTTTTAGCTTCCTCAATTTGTAGTAGATTGTTTAGATTCTAAATATAAAGTCCCATTTGAATGTTTCATGATTGCAAGCTCAGGTGGCAATAAAATGTAGAATCTTTGCAGGGGGTGAATACTTTTGCAAGGCACTGTACATAGAGACATATTTCATAACAATACTAATTTAATTCCAAATTATATATATATATATATATATTGAAGTTTCCAAAAGTGATACAAATTATAAATAGTTTTCAAACTTATTTACTAGCCAAGTAATACACTGGTGATGACACAAGAGCTATCTTCTATTATTCTGCCAGAACGGCCTAGTTAGAAGTATT